TGACCCATTTGTGAGAATCTCTCTGCTGTTTGCCCCCTTGAAAATATCTAACAACTTGTGACAGTCGCATTCATAAAAGTACTGATGATCACAGGGTCGAACCACAACCTTAAAGAAGCTCCCTTTAAAGTTATTGTAGGAGAAGGTGTAGGGTGAGAATAAGACGAATGTCGAGTGACCAACAAGAGATAACTAACCTCAGAAATTCATGTGAAATACTTCTTAATCATTGATTTAAGCATTAGAGTGTCTTTAGAAGTACTTTCGATGATTCAAACCTAAGAACTAACTCGTAAACGAACGAAAAAAACTCTAAAGAAAAATATACCATCGAATACAGCTAAGTGAGACGAATAGTATTTCAAACTTAGCAAGAACAATATAAAATTATCTATTATCTTTATTATAACCAAAATCAAACAAAATATTTAAATTTTGTTAAACACATTCATTTATCATTATAATTTTCTTAAAAAAATATATTATAGAATATTTAATATAATAAAGAAATAATTATCATATTACTAATTATTTTATTTAATTCTGAATTGAGATAATTTAAACAAAGATAATCTTAAGATACTTATACTATACCCATAATAAAAAAATATTAATTAATTTTTCTAGACTTCGTTTATACAGGATTTTAATTACATTGATAATTCTTGTCACACTTATAATATTTGGAATTTAGTTGACTAAGTTAAAATGGCATACACAATTCAATTATAACTCAATTAGAAAAAGGTTAAAAACCACATATTTAAAATAATTAAGAAAACTCATTAGCACAATGGAATATATGATGAAAAAGCAAAATTGACTTTATTACATTCTTTTGAAATTAGAAGTAGATGAAATTGTTCGTTTTCAGTTGCATTACTATTATTATTTTTAATATGGTTTGGGTTACATTATGAAACACATCTAAACTGAAAAAAAAAAAATGAAACAATAACTTTACTTCACACACTGTATAAGAATATATATAAATGAATTGAAAACGGTTGGACAGATGTTGCAGCTTTCGGCAATTTTGTCTTAAGTGCGTGGCTTTAATCCATGCATTTTAAATCTTATCTTCATCTTTCTCCATTCAAACATGTCTTTGCAAACCAAAACCATGAATTCCTTTGCAATCAGGAATGTGTACATTCCCACTTCTGAATCTTGCACACCTTTTCGTCTCCGTGCATTCCATCATATCATATCATTTCAATCCATAAAAAGGAAACAAAGAAAACACACTGTATATCTCAAATGTAACAAATTTCAAAATTCATTCAAATAATCAATCATTGTGCACACATCCACATTTATTGAAAGGTTTCGCATTTTATTTATTTATTTATTTTTAATACTCATTTAATAAATTTTGTATTTACTTTGCAAATCACAAAAACATTGTTGCCGAGTATATTATAGATGGCAAACCTTGTATGAATTTTTTTAATATTATTGAATAACATTAATAACATCACTTTTTTGTAGGAATAATATTCTTATATTCTCTATATTCGACTCATGTTATTTGAGATTGATATATTTATTTTAAGGCTAAAATTAGATTTTTTTTAATTTTTTTTAATTAGTTTTTATTTGAGACTCTGAAATTTAAATTCCTAATTTATTTTTTTATTTTTTAATGTAATACAATTTGATGTAAATCTAAACCATCTCCTAAACATAAGTTAAGGATTAACTTGGTTAAGATTCTTATATGTTTTTAGGTTAAATTGAATTTTTATCGCTCTTAAATTTATGATTCATTATTTTAGCTTTCCGTCCTTTTCTGTACTTTTAGTCTTTAAATGTTTTAAAATTCATAATTTAGATTCAACATACATTGACTATTGGGTTAACTGATTAATAATGATGTTTAGGTGTTTTGATGACTGATACAAATTGCATTTTTAATTAAAAAAATGGAAATACCATAATTATGATTAATTGTGATATGGGACCTACAAGATAAGTCTTCGAAAATATTTATGTTTACTAAATTGTTGAGTAAATAAAAATTATATATTTTTAAAAATTAAGAATTAAAACCACTAAGAAGAGGGTGTATTGCATATCATAGATTAAAAGAAAACCAAGATTATATATAGACATTTTCAATAATTGAGAGTGTATCCATTGTTAACTGCTAAAATATACAGAATATGTTCTTTATTCCTCGAACACATATTTTATTCTCCCACCGACAGTGGTTGATAAAAATAATAAAAATGTAAAAAGCTAATTTATAACGAAAAAAATATACAGTATTACTTAAATAAATTATTAATTATTTTAAGTAATTTTTTATTTAAAAAATATTATATAATATAATAAGTTATTTAAGTTTTTTATTGAAATAAATTTTTAAAAAATTACTTATAAATATTTATGTTTTCTTTATTTATTTTTAATTACTTGACATGTCTTATCTTAATATGTGCAAGCAACAACTTTGACTTGTTACACACTATCACAGTCATTTAAGTATAATTTCTTAAGAGATGTTACATCCTGAATTAAGATCTATTTTATATAATATTTAAAGTTATATATATATATATATATATATATATATATATATATAAAAGTAAAATTTAAAATTATATTAATTACTCTTTTGTTAATTATAGTTTTGTCTATTTAAGTATATTTATTGTAAAAAAATAACAAGTTATCAAAATGATTTTAAATGGACATAGAATATTAAGATCAGTGTTAAAAAAAACTAACAAATTTATTAAAAATAATAATCTTAAAACGTGTTTTATTTCAAAATAGATAAAATACTAATTAAATAATTAAAATTATCTTACCCACACTCAATATTCATATAGATAAAATCTATTTAAATAATATAAATATAAAAATTTATAAAAATTTGTTTGATTAATTTTATTTTTAAATTTTTAAAAAAATTTCATAAATCATGATTTTTAAAAATAAATTAAATAATAGAACTTGTTTGATAATTTTAATTTTAAAATTATTTAAAAATGACATTAACAATGAGGAACATAAATCTATTTTTGATAACTTTACTGTTATGAATAATATAGTATACTTATTGATAAAAAAGTAAATAAAATTAATCAAAAATATTTTTTATTTGTTTTTAAATCTAAAAAATAAAAATAATTTTAAAAGACCATTTTAAGAAAATAATTATTATGGAGTGGATCTTAACTCAGTGAAAAAATATATATGATTATTAATACAACTATTTTCGATTATCTCATGTTATGTGAATTAAAGGTAGAGCATATAAGTATTTATTGAAGATGAATATCTCTAAATAAGTTTTCAACAAATGTTTTGGAATAAAATTAAATATTTTATTATAAATTTTATTGTTTAAAATTTAATTAAAACTACTTATAAAATAACTTTCTAATATAAGACTAAGTATAGAATATTGATAAGCAACAACTTTAATTAGAGATGCTTTTATCCCATTTCAAACCATATTCTTGGTGATACTTTCCTTTCTGCCTATCTTTTTAAGGTTCATTGTTTCTCAAATAAATATACCTTTTCCAGGTCTATTGCTTTATTTGCTTCACTAATAATATAAGCCATCTTCGTACGTATAGGCCACTTATTATGGGCCCAGCCTTGGGCCATTTCGCAGAGGGCCCTTTGTCCTGTTAGCCCAATGGGCTTCTTCATATATGTCCCGAATAGCCCACTTAAATATTTATCACAAGGGTTAATGTCGTTTTAAATAATGTTAAATTTTAATAATTTTACAAATAAATACTTTATACTTGACAATTGATATAAATAAATTATTCGGAATCATTTGTCGTTAACAAATTTATTCTAACTTGATGAAATAAGGTATTGGTAAAGAAGACAAGGTTTGGAGATTCATTGTAACGAAATTAAAATTCAAAATACTAGGGTTTTTCCCCTAAAGAAATAGTCTCTAATCCCTTTCCAGCATACTTTCTCTTATTACATGAGATTCATGGGTTTTACTAAATACTTGGATTCCACTCCCATATAGGATATCTGCTTTTCGAATTAGTGGGAGAAACGAGTTTCAACAAAATAAAAGTGTGTTAAAAAGAGAATATTTGAGAGAATGAGTTGTTTGATTTTATTCTCCAAATTAATTGAGTTTTCAAAACGCAAATAGTGTATATGTTTCATACAAACTTGTGAAGGCTAGTGTAAGGCACAGACAAGAGTTTAAAATTGAGTTTGAACATCACTCATGTATTTTTGTTTTTAGTTTTGAAAATATTTATTTTAAAAGTAAACTTCAAAACTCAATATTCTAGATTATAAATAAATGGGTGAATATGTCTGAAATTCTTCTACATAACAAGTTTTTTAAAAAAGAAAAAAACTCACCATTACTATATAATTGGATTTTGGTGTGAAACAATGATAATTAGATGTATAATATATCTAATTGAAAACTATTTTTAATAATAATAATAATATATACATTTATTTATTTTTCATGCTACAAACAAACACATTAAAAAGCAAAGTTAGCGTTGTCAATCCAGCTCAATAATCACACCTTGATAGTCTAACATGTTTCTACTTCAAATCATTATTGATGCTCTTCAATTTCTTTTTAATAAGCACAGTGAATAGTGGTTTTTAATGGGTGTAACAAACCTACTTAATTGTATATAATATGTGCTGTTTAATACATTTCTTTATAAGAATTTTTGGAATTTTTTTTTTCAAAAATATAAATTTAAAGAAATTATACGAAAAAGTTCTTACAGATAAGAATATCTTTGAAGTTAGCTTTTTACTGACTGGTGACCAACCCAGAAAACTAAAACATGATAGATGAAATAAGATGAAGAAATTGTGGAAGGCGAAATTATATAAATAATGCATTGTTCTGAATTCTGATACTTAAGAATAGGTCATAGTTCAAGCATAGCCGATGTTTGAGACACAAACAACTTTATTCTTCTATACATCGAGATGTGTCTTTTACAAAGCATCCAGAATAAATGCATGATTGTTTATCAGGTTAAGAACCTTTCCAACAAGTTACCAAAGAAGAAACTAGTTTTAGCCCATGCTCGAGTCTCTGGTGCTTTTGCATTGCTTGGCACTCTCTTCACATCAACCATCATTGTCTTACCTATTTCTTTACGAAGTGCTTCCATAGTTTTCATGTCCACTGGGTTCCCTGATGCATCCCTCACGTAGAACACATTCAATGCTTGCTCCCCTCTGGTTGATACACCTGCCCTACACACGGTCAAGCCATTCTCTCGCAGAATCCTTGTTACTTCAGACAGCAACCCAACTCTATCCTTTGCACACAGCTCAAGGCTCACACCCTGTCTCCACAATCAAGAGTAAGACTTCAGATATTCCCTATTCCTTCAAAACTACCTAACATTATGACCAAATCTACAATATACTTACAGTTTTTTTTACACTATCATCTATCAAATATTATCAAGCATAACAAGATTGCTAACTTTTATATCAAATAATCGTATTTATGATAATTTCTAATTGGTCAACACCAATGTAAAAATATCTACACTGATAGTATATATGATATTAAACTCGTGATAATCTGCATGCCCAGCACAAACTGTTATTAGATTTGTCATAAGCTTAATTTGAATATGATTGAAACGAAAGTAAATAAGAAAATAACTCGTCCTTCATGTGAAATTTTATGGTTTTAAGATATAGGGATGTGGATGATGATATTAGATGGAGCATATAGATTCTTAAGCTCTTATAGATCCCATCATTGTCACTAGTGAATATATGATGGTCAGATACAAAAATCTGAGTGGAACTTAGCCTCATGCATTTGCGGTACCATTGCAGCAATACAAGTAGATAGCTGCAGATGCAAAATGTATTAATTCTGTTAAATTCTGAAAACTTTCTGCTGTACAATCTCATACACTACATACTAAGTTGAACGCATCTTTTTTGTTTTTGCAGTAGTTAAACAAGCATATAGAAATCAATTCAAATCTAAAAGTTACCTCGCTTATTCTTCTTCGAATAGCAGCTTCAATGCATTGAATGACCCTTTCTTTTTCTCCTTCAGTGTCGAGTGTGCATCCATCCATATGTCGAATAAAATACTCCTAAAAATACAACATCAACCAACTCTTTAGTCTACATTTCTCACTTGAGTCTCATCACTTAACATGCAGAATAGAATTCCCATGTAACAAACCTGGGATGCATAAGGGCCATCAGATGTGACTGTGGCATGGAAAACAACATATTGCATATCAGTAAGAGTGCAAACAATGTCAAACATGAGTTTTGCCCGATCCTTGCACTTGACAGTGACCACTGAGTACCCTTTCTCCTCACAACGTTCTATGGTGATTTTAGGCCTGAAAGAGAGAGGACAATTAACGTCTCTTGCTACTCCATAACTTTCATAATCTCGATCAGCAAACAACATCTGGTGAAGCCGCCGATCCATGTGGGTGAAACCCATGGAGAAACTGGTCCTAGCAACTTTCTCACCATCACATCCACGAAAGATGTTGTTGAGCTGCTCCTCCATAAGAGAAAGTCTGCTTGGCTCATCCACAGCTCGGTTTGTAGCATCATTGACATAAAGAACGCAAGCAATTCGCTTGTTATGAGTCCACACTTCCGCTGCAAAAACATTAAAATGGAGGTTCGCAAGAACAGCTGAAATCTCAGACAATAGACCAGGGCGGTCTCTGCCAATTAGCTCAATGGCTGTATGATCACCAATAGAATGCACTCCAACCCGTTTGCTTGGCCAATTTTTCACCCATTCTGTGCTCTGGCTCTTTGGTCCTAGAGCCTATTGTAAGAAAAACTGTTATCAAGTAGCTCTTAGTATTTCATATGCATTATTATACGGGTGCTATACTGCAACACAATTAAGAAAATAGTAGGGTAAGCTGGTTGGCTTCTAGTAAAGGAATCTGATTAATAGTTTCTTACTTTTTTCCACATATATGAGTAATATCGCTATGACGTATTTAATTTATACTAAAGCCATGGTTTTGTATGGAACGAAAGGAATGAACTCTCTCAATCACGCCTGGTGTGTGAGACAGACAATGTTTATTCATCAAAACTTTCTACCTTATTATTAAGTTTATCTGTATATGTTGAGAGTGTTGTGCAACTTCATTTTTTACCAATAATTTAAGTCTTTTACATTGTAATTAGATAGCTATCAAATTTAGTATAAAAATTATATCAGATTAATGAGTTAAAGAAGATGGTTAATAGTTACCTTTTCAATGAAGTCAATGGTTTTGCTATCTGTTATCTTTCTTCCTTGCTGATCCGTCACATGAAATACTGCATTTTGTTAATTGAACAGGTTATAGCTGCTTGAACATTTGATTTAGGTTAGCAAGAAACACTGTGCTGTTTGTCTAATTGATAATTTTGAATTAACTTGAACAATTGCATATTTCCCGCTTTGAGTAAGGATAATAACAAGCACGAACAGGACACATCTATGTAATTATTAATGCATTTCAAAAAAGTTAAATTTAGTCAGAACATACCATCCATAAACCAACCACCATCAGAAGATATGTAAGCTTTGGTAATTATGAAATCAAGGTCGGTCAAGATTTGCACGACTTCAAGCAGAATTCCAGGTTTGTTAACACTATCAACCTGTAATTTATTTATGGGGAGAGAGGATAACAAAAGTCCATCAGTAGAGGATAACATTACAGTTGCATATTGCATTTACTAATATCCAAAATATATATATGATTATTTCAAGAACTATAAAAATGATGATCTCATGAAAATGTAGTGAGTATCCTCATAGTGCACACCATTTACAAGCAATAAAGTTTTTCAGCATACAGAGCACAAATTTTGACAGCGTTTTTATATGTTTAATTTTTGTGTCCGAATTCTGTAACTACTTCTGCAAAGGCTATCAATAAATAAACCACAGGTTATCCAGAAAATGGTATCATCTTAAGAGAATTTCTATCTGATCATTTCAAATTAAGTTAACTACAGTTTTGACCAAGGGCTAGTGAAATCTATTTGCCTTTGAAGTTTGAAAACTGATATAATTGGAAAATAAATAAAAATCAAGACTCTAGGTTCAACAGTTCAAGAAAACATTAAATACCACAAGCTGGCCCCCCTAAGAAGCTCAATGGACAAATCACAACTCATAAGGTGGTCAGGGAAAATTAGTCATTATTTATTATTTTGAGAAATTATACCTTGATCAGTGTACAGTCATGGCAACTAGCATTGTCCACAGAGACCCTGCGATGTTGTAAACAGAGTTCATCACAAACCAGTATTTCTTTCAGGGTTCAACAAAGTCATACCTTAAATCCCAATTCTATAAGGTGTTGAGCGTCTTATCCATGAAAATCAACTCTATTGTAATTCGAAAGAATAAGATGGTAAACCTTGGAGGGTTCATTCTATTGCTAAAGTTCTCGTACTCGGGATCAAAATATGGCCAACAAACTTTAGCCATGTAATCAACTTCTCCAGTCAATGAGGTGCTTCTTTTCCTGCATGAACATGAAAAATAAGCAGATAAAAAAGGTACATCAATAACAAAAATTATTCATTTTAGAGATGCACAAAAGAGAAGGAAACAACAGTTGTCAGTTACTACTAGCATATTTTTGGATTTAATAGTTTTCATACGAGTGAGCATTCACAGTCACTTTACCTAATCCAGCAGCCCCCAGTTAGTATTAGTAATCATTTTACAGTTTTGGACTAATGGTGCAGTGATTCAAGGTAAAAATGTCTACATATCAGAAAGAAATTGTGTTTATAGGAAAAAGAGGGGTTTAGCTCTGTCATTGTATTTTCATTACTTTTGTTTTTTGTTAGTAATCAATTTCTGTTTCTTTTAGGTCAAAGATCATCCAATATAATGGACAACATTTCTACACTGATGGTGCATATTCTTGATGCTTATTATATCAGACTGAAACTCTCACTCTCTTATGTTGTGGGTGTCAAACAGTGTAAGACAGCAAGTGTACAATGCTTGAGTCACTCAGTGACTCACCACTTCAAGCGTCCCTCCTTAGTCCATACTACAGAATCTACGATTCTGCATGCTCCTTCTCTTGACCTTTGAACATGATTTCAGGAATAAGGTAAATGCTGAGTGTTCCATGTGCATTGAATTGGCAAAAGTTGGGAGAAGGAGATGAGAATGAAGAGTCAACAACAAGAATGCCTGGAGAATCACGGCATCAGCAAAAGGATTTTACTTTTTCTTTTGAGCACACTCAAAAAGCATTTTGCTTTACAAACTTCTCCACTAATTTGGTTTGGGTTAGAAAATGTAGATAGTAGTTGAATGAATCTGATCATTTTTAAGTTTTCTGAACATAATTTTTTTTCCCAATTGATACAGATTCTTTCATTCCAGAATCATTCCGTTCCACTGACTTTTATGCAATGCAAGAAAAAGAAATATAACTGGTATGTGTTTGGGGGCAAACGAAACACATATAATCAATATTACCGAAACGATAATAGAAAAAAAAAAAAGTCTTATATTTTAGCTCACTCTTTTCAACAACCAAACTCTCTTAAAAAAGACAAGTACCATTGAAAAGTTTGACTTTGAGAAGAGTTACAATTTTCAAAGCGAAATTAATATTTAATTTCCTGAAGAACCAATAATGTGATATGGAGCTCAAAGGTAGCTTCCGCTTTGGTGAGTAACATATTAGATTCTCGAGCCAATAAAGCAGAAAGCATTTGAATGTGGCATAAAATTTTATTCCAATTACAACCCGAATACTAGTTTTTATTTGGCTTTGCTTGTGATTTCAATCACCACGTACCATGCCAAATTGCCATCACTCTATTATCTAAAATTATCTCGAAATCTATAAAGGTCCCGGAAATCCAACATGAAGATGGTTCTATCCAACGAAATCTTCCAAAATAAGAAAAATAAATTATGAATTAAGAATATAAACGGTTGAGAAATTTTCTGCATTTTTTCAGAGAAAAAAAAGAGATAATGGACAATATAAATAGGCTAAAATTTATGGATTATTTCATTTTTGTTGTTTTAGCAATGTCTTTGAGAGAGAGTAGTATGTGTTGGGATGAGAAAATTGGGTTCCAAAAAGGGAATTAATTGGAGCTGAGGCGAGTTACGGCAAAGTTATTATGCAAGTTACAAGTTGGGCAATACCCGAGTGAATGAACTACTTTCAAACACGGATAGAATAATTTTGCAAACCACATGGTGCTTAACTCTCCAATATAGAAACGAAAACAACCTCCAAATTAGGTATAAAATGTCATATATACCATAATTTGCAACCTATTCAAAAACTTATGTTCGGTTCAGAAAGTTACTTTTAAACGTATGTTTAATAGACATGGAAGAGTTGAATGAAATAAAAAATAAAAAGGTTAATTACTCGCTTAGTAGTATCTGTACAAATTTTGCCTTTTAGTTTTTATACTTAAAAAAAATTGTGTCTCTATATACACACCATTTTAAATATTTTAGTCTCTATAGTCTTAACTCAAAGATTATGTAATAAAAACTGTGTTTGATTTTTATTATATATTAAAACTAATCAAATCAGTGAAAGTTGGAACATCACAATCGGAATTAATATTTGATCCAGGAAATTAGGAAAATACCGTGACAGGACAACAAAAATAGTATCGTGGCTAAAAAAATTGTTTAAGAATGAAAATTAAACGTGTAATTAATAAAAAATTATAAACTTAGTTTTGATTATATTCTTCCGTTAAAATAAGAGTGTTAATTCCATGAGACATATACAATAAAAGTTTGTGTTTAATACTACCAATATGAAATTTCAGTTTTAATTAAAGAATACCATGAAAGATATAAAGAATTGATTGTAAGTTTTGTTGGTAAAAAGGAAAAAGACAGAGAATGAAACACACAACAAAAACCACAAACTCTCAAATCGATGTCCTGGATCCACTAATAAATTTTGGCATATTTTACTCGGCGAACAGAACCTTAACGGAAAGACACTCGAGTAGCTTGTAGTGGCTTTCCTATGAATGGACTAGGAACAGAAACTTAAGATTTTTGTTTTGCTTTGTTTTTCCACTTGACTTGGAAACAGAATATATAACACTATTATATTGTCAACTGAAACGGCGACGCACCGCAACTACAGTGCTGTCGCCAAATATCTCTGCGCAAATCTCAACCACGAACTTAGCAACCCAAACAGAACAGAGAGGAGTTCTTGAAATCCACGAATGATTAATAAATATGAATACGAGGAACCTCATTAGACGAAGAGAAGTATTCATTGTATAAAACTAGCTACTGTGATACCACTACTACTTCCTTTGACGACACAATTCATATGAAAATCACATACGTAAGCAACATACATACCTTAATTGTTGCGAAGAGAGTTGTCCCAGTGTTCCAACACAAGGGAGAAACCTTGAAGCTCCCAAATTGTCACATGAGACACCAAGCTCACTAGAGATATATAGATAGAGAGAGAAGAGAGAAGGGAGGAGTTTAGGAGAAAGCTTAAGCTTTGTGTGTTAATGTTTGTGTTGTGGTGGTGTATGCTTTCGACGTTGGAAAACCACTCAATTGAAGTCTCTCTCTCCTTTCTCTCTCTTAAAGCAAAGCAAATGAAAAGGCTCTGAAGTGGCCTGCTAAGAGGTTCTGGGAACCCATTAAATATCAAAATTAATAAATAATGAATCGTCAAACAAATAATAAACTGATTTTGGATAGGTTACATATTGTTTTTTTTATGTAACAAATGTTAGTTGTTTATTTGTTACTTGTTTAGTTTTAATATTGATTATGTTGGTAGTTTATTCTCTCTTTCTCTTTTACCTAATTATATTAAAAAGTACAAAATTAAAGTTTAGAAAATATAAATATAAATAGATTTCAATTTTTTTTGTGTTTTCGGTTTATCGTTTTAAAAATGTTGTTATTCTGTTTTATTTACTCTCTCTTTTTTATCAAATTTGAATGAAGTTATTTTTAGGAAAGTATAGTTTATAATAAAATAAAATAACTAAATGATTTCAATTAATGTAACATTAGGTTTTTTTTATAATCAGATCAAGTACCAAATTTATATTTTTCTCCCTAAAAAAACCTTAGATGGAGTGAGTTTTAAGGTAGTTAGTCATTTTCGTTTGTGTGCTGTACAAATAATTCTTTTTTTATATAACTAAAGTTTGTGATAAATAAATATTTCAAATATAAAAAGTATATAATTATTAATTATAATAAATGAGTGATTTTAAATATATTGGTTATATGAATAAAAAATAATTTATTGAATTAAAAAATGTAAAATTTAATAACCATAGCAATTTATGAAGGTGAATGTCTATCATTACAATATATGTAAAATCAAATATATATATATATATATATATATATATATATATATATATATATATATATGTTTACTTTTCAGTTTTTATATGAATTTTTGTATTTTTTTTAAATTCTCTTTTATCGCATATTTTTTTTACGAGGAGCGAATCAACCAGAATTTTCTTTTTGTTTTTGTGTTTTAAAAACACCAAATATATTAAAAATTATAATAAGTAATTATTTAAAAAATAATAATTTTAGAAGAAAAACAATATTATATTATCATGAAGAGAAATTGTACTAAATAATTATAAAATAATAACTGTTTTAAAAAAGATTTATCATTTAACTTATCATTTTTGTACTCTAGTGTGTAATAATTAAAACTCTTGAGATGAAAAATATTTATAACACTTAAAATAGTTAAAAATCATAAAAAATATTGAAATTCATCGTCCTCTATACGAAAAGATTTGGTAGCATTTTTTATTTGTTTCTCACAGTATTTTTTCTGAAAAAAATAAAATAAAACTCGTAATAACACTTTTTCGGTACTGCAAGTATCTTCAGGCGCGTGATGTCATGATTTGTCAGTAGTGGTGGGAGAATAGGCGCGTGAAACTCGAATACTTTATTATATCTAATATTTACAAATCAGTCCAAAAAAAAGTGATTAAATCAGACATTCATAATGAAATATGATTTTTGAAAATTAAAATGATTATTCAACATCATTTCAAATTATTATTTTTTTCTTACATTGAATAATTTCTTCAAAATTATATAAACTCAAATACTTTATTATATCTAATATTTACAAATCAGCCCAACAAATTTTGATTAAATCAGGCATTCATAATGAAATATGATTTTGAAAATAAATTGTTTTTATCATAGATTGTATAATTTTTTTTCAAAATGATACTCGTTTAATTAGTTTGAATTATAATTTCAGTTTAATTTTAACAGAGTTTATAATTATTTTTTAAAATTTATTTACGAACAGATGATTATTTTAAATATGATCTGAAAAGTAATTGTATATTTAATAATTTTAAAGCATATAAAAATATTATATAATTATGAAAAAATATTTATACTATGAATACATTAAAATAATATTATTATTATTATTATTAATTTTAATTATAAATTAAAAAGTAATTTTAAAAAATTATGATATGTAATATGTCAAATTATTTTTATAAATAATACATTTTAAATGAAAATTTAATCAAATAGAATTTCTGTCTATTTATTTATCCTAATAGATAAATATATTTTTCGTGTGTAGTTTTTACTTTCTATAATTTTTTATTTGTTCTCTCTTTCTTCTCTACTCTTTAATTTTTCTTTTTTATTTATCAGTTTTTTGTTTTTTCTTTATTTTTTAAATTTAATAAAAATATATTATAGTAATTTTTTAAAATAATATTAGAACTAAAAATATATCAACTAATTATTTTCAATATAATAACAATAAATAATTTTATTTATTATGTTAGTAAATAATAAATTTAAAATATAATTAATGAATTCAATTATCATAAAAACATATTATGGATAGTTCTCAATATTTTTCTTTTCTTTATTATTGTTAAAAAAAAGTCTCGTAATTTTAAATAATTATTTAATATTTTTTTAATTTTAAGATGATTTAAAAAATTACTTTAATATGTTTTTATTAAATTTCAATATAATATTTTAGTTAGAAGTATAAGTAGGAAAATAAAAAATAAAATAAAAAAGGTAAAATAAGAAAGAGAAATAACGAGTGAATGAAAAGAAAAAAATATATAAAGAAGATCCAATAAAAACTATATATAAATAATAAATCGATCTATTTAAATAAAATGATAAAATTTTTGTTTAAATGATTTTTCTAAAATATATTATTTATAGAATTGATATTTAATATCTATTTTTACTCATTTAAATAAAGATTAAATTAAAGAGGACGAAAAAAAGTGTGAAAAATAAAATAATAAAAAGTTAAAAAGATTATTGTTTTTTATTTTTATTTAACATGTAAAATAAAGAAACAGTATTTTTAAAATATTATTATTTCAATAATTATAATAATAACTAATTAAATAAAAATATTAAAATAATAAATAAATGTATATAAAATAAATAAAATAATTTTTAATTAATTAAATTAACCTTAATTTTTATAACTTATTTATTTGTTTTTATTTTCTTTTAATTTAAATAATCTTATTTTTTATTGTATTTTTTTTTCTCAAATTCATTATTTAATTCAAAATACAAGAGGAATGAATAAGAATATCTATATTATAAATGTATTTTAATAAATATTTTATTATTTAAATTTTATTAGTGAATAACTTTAGCGCGTGAGGATGAAAGTGTACCATTCTGTTACATGTTGTCGTATTCCTCGGAAGGACGTAACATCTAACAGTGGTTCTGTGGAATCACCACCACAACCGTCGAGCATGTCACAAACATCACACTCCACTGCCAAACATATTATATATATTTATTATCGTGTACAATACCTAATAAATATAAATTACTCAATAATTCGTACAAATAAAAGATATTTTAAATAAAACAGTGTTAGAAAAAAAATATCTCAATTACATCAACATAATATTATAACAAATAATACAAAGTGCGTTCTGCGTTGTCTCTTGATGTGATTTATTATGAATGTCCCTGACCTAATCAAGGAAGCTGCTTCCTGCAATATCTTAATTATGTGAAATTAACCTCTCGTTTTCTCGCATAGGAGTTTCCACCGTTCAAAATAAAACTAGATTGTATTGAGAGTTATTTTTGTCTCAATGTATCATGATTCTAAAATTTTTCTCACACACGTACTCATTTTGTTATCTTAAAATCGGGTACATGTGGTGTACTAAACAGATATTATTTTTAGGAGCCCCAGAAGATTAGGGCCTAATATTCTATTAATGACCATTATGGTGTTTGGCATAGTTGGTTAGGCTATAATGGCAGCGACTAAACCTCCAAAAGACTAAACATTGAAGCAACAACTAAAAGTGCATCGCTTTGTGTGTGTCTCAGAGAGGCCTATTCTAACCGACCCACCTATATATAATGGTTATATGTGCAAAAAGGGTCAAATTTAAAAGTTAACTATGACTGACATTAAAATGGTTAAATCCATCCATAAAATTAATCAAATTACAAAATAATGTAAGGAAATATAATTTTTTTAAATCAATCTCTAAAACATTGAGAATATAGCTTCCAAAATATAGAGTGCATTTTCATATTGACGGGATATACCCAAGTTGTAGGATGAGGTATCTTAAAGGGGATGAAATGGATTAGGTTACCAAGTCTACTTATCATGAAAATAACATGATAATTTTAATTTATCAGTTTTTTTTATTCATCTTCAATTAAGTGGATTCAAATGAGATAAGATAAATGGATTTATTGGTCAATTCTAAACAATTATTTATATATATATTAAAATTAAAATAAAAAATTTATAATTAAAAATATTGTATTTTTTATGTTATGTTATTAAAATATAAATATATAAATATATATATGTTATTATTATTATGATTTTCATATAATTTTTTAGTGTCCGTTTAAGATATTCTATAGTTTTTCTAAGTTATAAATTTGTATATTTAATAAATAAAATTACTAATTTGTAAATATATATAGTTAAAATAAATTATTAACTAATAAATTTATCATCATAAATTTTAATATTTTTCATATAACAATTTTAAAGATAAAATATGTTTTACATAGCTTATAAAATTTCAAATATCTCAAATACGTCTCCAAGAATAAAATGTGCAGAATTTTTAAAGTAAGAAAAAACGAAATTAATATTCTTTATACATACATTAATTCGTAGGTCAATGGCATGTGAACCATAATTAAAGGGTTGATGTGAATGATGAAAGATACATTTACATGACATGACAAAAGCAGTATTGTAGAAATGTGTTTTGAAATTGTCGAACCCTATGCCTATCCTCCGATACATTCTTACATGCTTGCTCCACATTTCGTGGAACACTTTCCATCATTACCGTAGCTTGTAATTTCATAGTCGTATCCAATACTTGGAAAAACTATCATTACTGTAGCTGGAAGCATAATATATTTTTTTAATTATCTTAATTATATTTGACTGTTCAACAAAAAATTACAAGTAAACTAATAATACTAACGAGTATCAATTTTATACCCATGTCAACACATATTAGACATCTCTTAATAAATAATTGATTCTAAATAAATGGTTAATCAGAAATTCAACTTAAGTTATTATTTATAAAATAATAATGATGTATAATATAATTAATAATTATAAATAATTAATTATTGATTAATATTAATTTATATTAAATAGAGAATAATAAATTATATAAAATTTATATAAATACAACCTTCTCCCACTTGAATAATATTAATAAATAAATTAATTATATCAATTATAAAACGAGTACAAATATCAATTAAGAAATATAAACATGAATCACAAAGATAATATCTAATAGAGATGATTATTCTATGCTTAGATTTCATAAATAATGGATAATAAATAAAATAAAACCAAAACATAATAAATATATGATCTCAAAATGGTTCATACATTTTATGTATTAAAGAGATGTAATAAAAATGACGTCATTGATAAATTTACATCTCGTGAAAACCATAATAATATAAAATATGAATCTCAAACTTCCACTAACTCAGTACATCAAAAGACTTAACCACACCCATACGAGTTACATGATTTTGAAAAACTCCAATAGCTAAGTCTTTAGTCAATGAATCTACTAACATATTTTCTGTAGCAGTATGCTCAATCCGAGTTTGAAAATCCAAAACTTTCTCTCTAACAAACATAAATTTTATATCAAAATGCTTTGAGCGAGTAGAACTTTTGTTGTTTTGAAAAAAATGTACGCCAGCAGTGTTGTCACAATATATCACAAGTGACCTAAAAATACTTTCAACAATTTGAAAGCCAGAAATCAAATTTTTAAGTCACACAACTTGGCAAGTAGCTTCATAACCAACAACATATTCTGCTTTCATAGTAGAAGTAGCTGGAAGAATTTGTTTAACACTCTTCCAAGAAATAACTCCTCCTACCTGCCAACTTAAATATAAAGCCATAAGTAGATTTTTTATCGTCAGGGCAACCAGCAAAATCAGAATCAGAATAACCAATGACTTGAAGTTGATCAGACTTCTTGTAGGTTAACATATAATCCTTAGTTCCATACAAATATCTAAATACCTTTTTAACGGCTTTCTAATGACCCAAACCCCGGTCGCTCAAGTATCTCCCTAAAGCATTAATAGCAAAAGCAATATCGAGATGAGTACAAAATTAAGCATACATTAAACTACCAACGGCGGAAGCATATGAAATTTTTTTCATTTCAACTCTATCATTATTATTTTAGGACATTGAGATTTAGAGAGTTTATCACCTTTTTGAACAGGTGTTACACATGAGGAGCAAGAATGCATGTTAAACCGTTTGAGGACTTTATCAATATATCCTCTTTGAGACAATCCAAGAATTCCACGTGACCTGTCACAAAAATCTGAATGCCTAGAACAACAGAGGCATCACCAAGGTCCTTCATATCAAAGTGGCTATTTAACATAGACTTTGTCTCAGTAAAAAGTTTAACACTGCTACTAGCAAGAAGAATATCATCAACATATAAGACAAGAATGATGAAATGACTCTCATTTTTCTTCAAGTAAATGCATTGATTCGAGGCATTTTCCTTGATGCCAAAAGAAGTGACCATCTAGTCAAATTCCAAATACCATTGTCTAGAAGCTTGTTTTAGCCCATAAATAGACTTTTTCAACCTGTAAACCAAATGCTCATTGCCTTTTTTAGCAAAGCCATCAGGTTGAATCATATATACTTCCTCAAATAAATCTCCATTAAGAAAAGCTGTTTTGACATCTATTTGATGAAGCTCCAAATTAAAATGAATTACTAAAGCCATAACCATACGAAAAGCATCCTTAGTAGAGATAGGTGAGAAAGTCTCCTTATAATCAATGTCATCCCTCTGACTATAGCCTTTTGCTACAAGTCTGACTTTATATCTCTCAACTTTTTCATATGGACTACGTTTAGTCTTGAAGACCCATTTACACCCAATTGGTTTACAACCGAGTGGCAAATCCACAAGATCCCAAACTTCATTATGGGCCATAGAAGCTAACTCATCATGCATAGCATTTAACCAATCAGAACCATGAGAACTAGAGATAAACTCTCTAAAAGTAGTAGGATCATCAACATCATTAAGATCATATTCATGCTCTTGAAGATACACCTGATAATCATTAGGTATATAAGACTTGCGTAATCTTCAAGATCTCCTCAAAGGAACCTCTTTAGCAACATTATCATGAACTTGTTCATCTACTACAGGTGATGTAGCATCAACAAAATCTAGAATAGAATCATTTCGAACAGACCCTTTTTGAAAAACATTAAAATGGTTAAATCCATCCATAAAATTAATCAAATTACAAAATAATGTAAGGAAATATAATTTTTTTAAATCAATCTCTAAAACATTGAGAATATACGGTCTGTTAGAATAGCATTGAGAATATACGGTCTGTTAGAATAGCATTGAGAATAGAATCATACACGGACAACTAGAATCACATTATCTGCAGGAAAAAAATGGATGGTACGGGAACAACAATACGGTCTTTTCTAAGAGTGACTGGTTGTGGTGCATTGCTCTCACTATCCAAATCATCCTCAAAGAATATCGCACAGTTAGATTCAATAACCTGCATGGAGTGAGAAGGGCAGTAAAATCTGCTACCACGAGAATCGACACAATAGCCAATGAAGAATTCACTAATAATCTTAAGATCAAGTTTTTTCAACTGAGGATTATAAGGTCTTACATCTACCTTACAACCCCACACATGAAAAGTGTCTTAAACTTGACTTCTTCCCAGTCATAAGCTCATAGGGAGTATTTGAAACAGACTTGCTAGGTACTTGATTAAGAATATACACAACAGTCCTTAAAGTGTCTCCCCAAAGGAAATTCGGTAAAAAGGAATGACTTAACATACATCTCACCATACCTAGAAGAGTGTGGTTCCTCCTTTCCGCAACACCATTTTTCTAAGGAGTACCGGACATAGTATACTGAGCTTCAATACCACATTCATCAAGAAATCTAGCGAAAGGTCCTGGATTTCTTCCAGACTCATCATACCTGCCATAATACTCTCCACCTCTATCAGACCTTACACATTTTATCTTCTTTCCAGTTTTCAACTCAAGAACAGCTTTGAAGGACTTAAAAGAATTCAAGGAACTTGAATTTTCTTGTAGGAGATCTATCCATCCAAATCTGGAATAATCGTCTATAAACGTGATAAAATGCCTGTATCCACCCATGGAAGTGGGTGTGATAGGTCCAC